ACTGTTTAAAATCTTGGTAGTTTACTAAGACAAAATAAAAATATGAGTGCCTTCCTTTGGTATACAAAGTCGAACATGTTCAGGCACCTATTTAATCCAACCTTATAACTTAACATTTTACCTCTGATCACTAATCTCCCAGCACACAGGCCTTCTATTTTTTGAGTGTAGAATCTCCCTGCCTTAGAGTTTTTTTGTATCAACAGTTCTCATGGCCTGGAACTTTTAATCCCTGGACCATTGATTTCCTTATTTAAATCATTACTTAGTCATTATCATGACATCTGGTTATATTTTATTTTTTCACAGCACTCAGAACTTCTCTCTATTTGAAATTACCTTGCTGAGTTGTCAACTTGTTTGTTGTCTCTCTTCTCCCACTAGGTTATCAGCCCAAGGAGAGCAGACTCTTGTCTGCCTTGTTTACTGTGGCATCTCAATGCCTGGCACAGAAGGCATATAATTAATATTTCATGAAATATTGAATGGAATCCCTTCAACTGCTCTCTGATTTGTTTCTTGCAGCCACAGCTCCATTACTGCTGCCATCTCTATGTCTTGCATCTTTATACCCTTTATCACTATGATTTCCCTCCGATCCATCCAGCTTCCTTCCACCAGAGGCATCGTCCTATAACCAGAGATGATTATGTAATTCCCTGCTCTCTATAACTTTTTATCATCTGGAAAATAGATCTAAACGTCATAGTTTGACATCCAGACCCTTCACAAGCCTATATTATAACCACATCTTGACCAGAAGGAGAGCTCCACATAGGTAAGGACCTTGGTTAGCTTGTTCATCTCTACAGCAGATGTTCTCATAGTCCCAATCAGCATCTGTATGTCCTGGGAACTTTTTAGAAAGGCAAGTTCCTAGGTCCCACACAAGAGCTAATGAAACAGAAACTTTGGGATGTGGACCAGCAAACTGTCCTTTAACAAGCCCTCCAGGTGATTCTGATTCACACTCAAGTTTGAGAACCACTGTTCTTTATCATCAGTACTTAATTCACTGCTTGGCACCTGAATATGAATGAGCGGCTATCCACTTTGAACATACTGGATTTTCCTTCTGTCTGCCCGGAGGGTCCGTATATCAGGCAGTGCAAGTGCCACCCTAAAAGCCATTTTCCCTACTTCCTTATTAACACAACTTTGATTTTGTTCAGGTATTTCCTTGCTCCCCTGCCTTGGGCTCCAGGGAAAGCAGAGTTCCTCCCAGCCTTAGAAATCTGATTGTAATTCGACTTCACCTATCCCATGTCCCTTACTAATGATTGGCTTGGGACTAAGTATAGTGTCAGTTCTTTGAAGCTAGGGAAATCCACAACAATGAAGACCAACTTCTCCAAGAACATGACGATTAAGGTGAGATGGTATTCGTTGATCAATAAACATTGTATGCGTATGTGTGTGTGTACATTGTGTGTATGTGTGTGTGTGCACATATTTATGTATTGGGTAGGGGTGTACAATCAGGGACACTTCAGGCAGAGAAACATTGCAAAGACCTGGAAGCTGGAGAGGTCTTGGGGAATTCTCAAAACTGGAAAAACAAAAATAGAAAGGAAAAGAAGGCAAGAAAGAAGAAAGGAAAGAAAGAGAAAGAGAAAGAAAGAAAGGAAAAAAGGAAGAAAAAAGAAAAAGAAAAGAAGGAAAGAAGGAAGGAAGAGGGAGGGAGGAAGGGAAAGAGAAAGAGACAGCGAGAGAGCTCTGATGTTTGGTGGAGACATAAGTGAAGGCCAGAAGTTGCAGACATTGAGGACATACCATAGCATACATTGATGATTTTTTGCTTAAAGCAGTGGGGAATTGTTGAAAGGATCTGAGCAGGTATAATAATACATGATCTGGTGGGCTTTTAAGAAAGATCACTGTGACTCTGGAATGAAAACTGGATTCACTATTGATGGAGGAGTTTCAGTATTATCTTGAACTAAAATAAAAGTGAGCAGATGAGGTTGAACTGCAGCTGTAATTTGGTAACCTAAATGTAAATACTTGTTTCTATCTTTGTGTTTATTTTATCTTGTTGAGAGAACAAACTGGCTGGGAAAGCTGGCTAGAAGCGTTTCTTAAAGGGCTTCCATAGGACAGTGATAATGATTCTTGGGTGGATTTGGTATTTCCACCTGAGTGAGGTTCCCTAACCAAACCTTTTTCACCTACTTCCGGGAGAAATCCTCTACCAAGCAGTGGCCTGAGAAATGGGGGAGGAAGAGAAGTTCTGCTGTTTATTTTCTGGGGTTTAGTCGCTTTGGCATTATGTTATCACAGACCTTAGACTTCCAGACCTCAGTGTTCAGCATCTGAATGTTAAAAAGCATTTAATTACACTTTTTTTTTTCTTTCTTTCTTTCTCACTACCTCTAACCTGCTGGGTCCTTCTCCTTCCTCCCCAGAAACGCTCCATGGCTGTTGAAATGAGCCAGGGGTAGGAAAGCTGGAGACAGGACAAGAGAGACGGACTGGGATTGGAACTCACAAGTAACAGAAATGGCTGGATTGGTGACTGCAGAGCCAATCTCTATATTCCATGGCCATACTAGTGAGGGAACTGAGGCAGCTGTATGCTGTGAATACTGTCGATGCGGGTCTACTTTGTGAAGCGAGGTAGGGCTAGGGTGGGGTGGGGAGGGAGAGATGATTTTTGTCTTTTCCTTTAAATCTTAAAATAAAAATCTGATGACGAGAGCTTTTTAAGTAGTTGTTTAGTAAGAGAGAAATAAAGCAAATTCAGCATTAACTTGCAGCTGCAGCTGCCCCCTAAAATAATGTTTGTGAAAAACTTGGACTCCTGAAGGACTCTAAAAGCACTAGGCAATGGAAACAAACACACAGCTTTGGGCGTGGGTGGATACCAGCAGGCTCACAGCGAAACGATGTATGTTTTTTGCAGATTGGTATTTTCAAAGGTTACTGTAGCCTTACACAATCGATACTTTACATAAAATGGAAACCAGAGGTTAACCAAGCGCTGCCTCTAACCTACATAGTGTCTATGCGTTTTAAGAAAATGCTCGTTCTAGCTACAAATAGATCAATGTGCCTGAGGAATTAGCAATTTCAACGCATGTTCGCTTACACAACTGGGAACCGTTGTACAAGGCGCGATTGTCAGAACCATAGCTAGTGGGTGTGCCATCCGAGAATCGTGTAATGCTTTTAAGGGTTGCCACTTACCTTAAATAAGCATCTAATTTCTAGCAAGATTACATGCTAGTGCACAGCTCCAATTATAAAAAAGGTGAGTGGCTCTGAAAAGAGCCTTTGGGTTTGACAGGGCCTAAAAACACATTTACTTAGAGCTGGTGTACTTGGTGACAGCCTTGGTGCCCTCGGACACCGCGTGCTTGGCCAGCTCCCCCAGCAGCAGCAGGCGCACCGCCGTCTGGATCTCCCTGGAGGTGATGGTTGAGCGCTTGTTGTAATGCGCCAAGCGAGAGGCCTCGCCTGCGATGCGCTCGAAGATGTCGTTAACGAAGGAATTCATGATGCCCATGGCTTTGGACGAAATGCCGGTATCAGGGTGGACCTGCTTCAGCACCTTGTACACGTACACGGAGTAGCTCTCCTTACGGCTGCGTTTGCGCTTCTTCCCGTCCTTTTTCTGCGCCTTGGTCACCGCCTTCTTGGAGCCCTTCTTTGGGGCAGGAGCGGACTTCGCAGGCTCAAGCATAACTAACTTTAATATCTTGGGGGAAGAAAGAAAATGAAGTGTGCCGGTCAGGATCCTGTTTATTTGTAGACAGTATTATGTAAATGAAGATTTAGTTTGGTAATCCCTGATTCGTTCTTTTGTCGTGGAATATGCATGCAAATGCACGATTGCAGTTCTACTCTCTTATTGGTCATATTCTGAGACCAGTTTTTCTGGCATTCAGGCCAACTTCTTTTTACCTAATTAGCATTTTATATAACGAGTTCCTTTCTGTCCAAACAATTCAGATTAGTTTGCTTATTTTAAACACTAGAAGTTGCCTTCTGTGTTTTGAAAACCCTGGGAAACGAAGCTCGTAGGAATCATGTCTTTGAATGTGAGATTTGTTTAAAATCTCCTGGAAAAGCTATGTTTTTATTTGAATCTAGGTAGATTCTAGACCAGTGGGCCAGAACTGAGAACTAGGCGACTTGTGATCACCCAGATAATCCTGAGGACACTGTTTCCCACCTTGTACGGAGTGCACAAATGCATCATGAAAATTAAGGGCAGGGAATAAATCCCAAGACAGAAAGCAAAATAACATTGTTTGAAGACAGGTAAGACAAAAAAGAATTCCTTAGTCAATATGGCTACAATCCTTCCTACTGGAAAAAAGCGAATCACATCTAGTTTAGCCACAGAGCGAGGATCAGAAATAGATAGTTCTTCGGTCTAACTAGTGAAAATATAGATTTAAAAAATCTAAAATGGAAGATCCCAGTATTTTACAGCTTTATTTTTATTATTGTTATTTCAGGCTAAAGTAGGTTTTTAGCTAATTCTTCCATTGCCATCTTTCCTTTTGTAGAGAAAGAGTCCTTCCTAAATGTAACTGTCCTTTTTTTAAACCCTCACTCCACCCTCCCCCTATGGTCTCTCCCACCACTCTAACTCTCCAGTCAAAAAGGCGCCAGCACAAATTTCCACCCTGTGGCTAGTTAATGTCTATCAAAAGTGCACTACTGAATTTATTATGTCTTATCTTTATTTCACAAAATAGTTTGTTTTGCTCACTTCAGTGATAAGGAGGAAACCTCTCAAGGTCAGTATCTTTATTTCTTCCTAATTACCAATTTAGCCAATGTAGCAATGCTCAGAATAATAGCTAATATGCTTTATTTCCATTTATTTAATTCTAAAAACCTTATGTGATGAATATTACTATTTTTTTCCATTTTACAGAAATGGAAATTAGAGCACCCAAGGCACAATCCTACTTGATCCCATCAGTTATAATTGGTGAAGCCAGGATGACGATTTTGACAGAGTCTGGAGTCAATCTAGGCCCTCAAAGGACAGACTCCAACTGCCCTGGTGGGTTGTGTTAGAAAAAGAGAGAAATACTTCTTGTTGTTCTTTTCATTTTAAAAGCGTAAGAAATAGAGTACTTCTTTAATGACTAAAAGAGATTGTTAAAAATGAAAAAGCTTTGACTGTACAATGTAGCTAGTCAGTAGAGAAAGAGTAGAAAGACAAATGAGACAGAAAATTTAAACTGGATTAAGGGAAAAGTAACAGAGGGAGAGGGGAAAAAATTGACATAATGGAGAGGCAGAGAGGAAGTGTGGAGTAAAAAGAGGAAGAACTTTGCCTAAAAAGGATAAGCCAATATCTTGGAAAGACACAAAATGTACATATACAGAGAAAACCATAGAGACAGGAATCAGCGATACAATCTGCAACTGCAAGAAGAAAAGAAAGAGAAGTGTACATGAAGGTCCTTAACTACACATATCAGATGTTCAGCTGATAAGATAGGATTGACACTTGTAACTGATTGCAATGAAGTAACATTGCCATTTGTGATTTTTAAAATTCCTGCTTAAGACTTTAACATTCCTACGCTTTTGTATCTATTTGTATCTATTGTAATTCGTTTTCAGTTGACACTAGGCCCTGTGTAACTTTCTCCAATTTCGTCTGTTCTCCTACCCATGCACACCCCCAAGATATAAACCACTATCCTACATTTTGTTTTAATCAGTCTTTGTTTTCCTTTATGGTTTCATCATCTAATTATGGACCCATAAATATATCTTGTTTCATTTTGCCTATTTTTATCTTCATATAAATGGAATCATAAGCTGTGTAATTTTATGATTGTTTTCATTCAAACTGATGTTTTTTGAGATTCATTCATGTTCATATATGTTACTTCAGTATCATCATTTTTAATTGCTGAATAAATAGTGACATTGTTTTACTCAATTTATTGTAACAGACATTTGTGTTGTGTCTATCTGGGATTACTGAGGTCATTACTTCTGTGAATTTTCTTGCATATGTTTCCTGATAGAGATGTGCACACATTTCTCTACGATATATGTAACAGGATGAGAGGTTGTTGGAGATAGTCACATGGAGCTGCTCAGGATGAAGACACGTCAACAGATGTAGGGCACAGGTTCAAGTCTGGCATAGAAAAATGGCAGGCCATCACTTCTGCCCTACCCCCCTTACTTCTTTCCAAGTTACCAATAATTGTTCTCAACCATCATAAATACTGACCATGAAAATATTTGTTGTGGAGGAAATTGGGAGAGTGAACCCTTATTAAACCTGAGATAGTAAACCTTCCTTACAGAAAAGTCCCAGTATTGTACATCCTGAGACACTCAAAGAGAAAGGCTGTTTTCATTTTATTCTTTCCAGTTCAAGCAGTTCCAAGCTGCCTCTTTCAAAGGGCAAGTCACTTTCTGTAGAATTAATACAAATCTTGTTAAACTAACCCTAATATTCTAGTTACTTTTCCACCATTAACTGCCCTAGCCCAAGCCCTTTTGTCTTATGTTTTCATAATTACTACTTTGTTGAACTCAGTATATAAGCTCAACTCTAAATGCTTCTTTGGAGATTCATTCTTTTTTCAGATATACACGTAAAGTTAAAAAGGTTGGATTTTTATGTAATTAATTTTTTGTTACTTCATCTTCTAATTGATTAGCTATCTATTGCTATTTCTTATTCCATCCTTGAATTAGATCATAAGTACTTGATTATCTTTAGAGGGGACCCGACTCATCCCTTTATCCAGAACGCACTCCCAAGATAACCAATCCTCTCCCACTAAAATAAAATCAATCCATTCATGAGGGAAGAACAATCATGACCTAATCACCTCTTAAAGGCCCCACCTCTTAATACAGTTGCAATGGGGAGTAAGCTTCCAACACATGAACTTTGGGAAACACATTCAAGCCATAGCAGTCTGTGTTTGGCCTCGTTAAAGGTAAGGCGAGTGGGGGGAGGTGGTGAAGCATTCATAAGTCTTATTTAAGTCATATAGCAAAGGGTCGTTCCTTGTATTAAGCATTTTGGAGACAAAAATGGTGGGAGGATTTCTTTAACCATTGCTGTTTTCCAGGATCACAGGGATCAGATAAATCTCAATATCATTGACTACAGTCGGTGACATCTTATTTAAATCTGATATTTACAAAAAGAAAAAACAAACCACATAAAATATTAAACACATTTGGTTTATTTTAATGTAATCTGAAATTAATGAAATATATTAATTATTTATAGCAATATATGTTGGATACCATGAAAATTGTCCAGGTATACTGTCTGAATCCTTATTGCTCTAAATTCTTCTGAGTTAGTAATTATTCAGTGAGCTGAAGGGTGTTACTTGTACCACAGACTTGTTAGTTTAAAAACAAAATTGGCTAGTATGCTTTTCAGTGGAAAATTCCACTGAAAAGTCTCCACCCCTGCTGTCTCCCCTAAAAGCTGTCACTCTTGCCTCTGTAAACTGCTTGCAGGTGCCAAGGTGACTCAAGACCCTGCCCCCCGCTAAAAATAAGCTCATTGTAACTGTGCCCCACTTCTCTCTCATTGTAACTGTGCTCCACTTCCTCCCTAAGCAAAATGTATAAAAGACTGCTACGTCCTTTGTTCTGGGCTCAGAATTTGGGAGAAGAAAATCCCCTCTGAGTCCGCCAGCATATAAACCTGTTTTGCCATACTTCTGTGTGCCTCTCGATCTATTCCTGGTCAACTCTGCTGTAACATGCTTACAAATAAGTAGATTTCTTTGATAGACATTGCCCCCACAAAAATTCTCCCCGGATCCAAAAACAATGATTTATTTTTTCCAGGTTTACATAAAATGGAACTCCAAAATAATAGTAGATATTAACTTAAATGTAATATATTCTTTTTTTTCTTTAAGAATATGTGGTACTTGACGTTCTGTTTCTGAGTTATTTCACTTAAGATAGTGGTCTCCAGTTCCATCCACACTGCTGCAAAAGTACGATTTCTTTCTTTTTTATGGCTGAGTAGTACTCCATCGTATATATATACACACATATATACATATACATATATATACATGTATACATATATATATCACATTAAATGTAATATATTCTAAAGTATCTTGCTATATGACTGTGATTTCACAGAAGTTTTATAAGTTTTCTTTTACCTTTCTGAGAAAAGCATGTGTCCATATGCCAGTTTTGGAATATGTCAAATATTTTATCTTTTTATGATGTTTACTTTTTTAATAACGCAAAAGAAATGAATGTAATAAAATGTGCCTTAGAGAATGCTCTTCTTATCTGAGTCTGAAAACAAATCATGCATGGATTTTTAAAAATAGTAATCAAAAAATAAAGAAAAGGGACAAATATGCCTGGAAAATATTTACCAAGAGAGTGTAAGTATAGCAATACTATTAGACAAAATAGAATCTAAAGCAAAGGTATTTGTAGGGATAGAGAGAGAAATGAAAGCCCTCCTGAAGCAAAACCCTGAAGGACTAGGAAAACTATAACAAGCACACAGTTGCCCAGCCAAGCAAAAAAAAAAAAAAAAGGAAAATTCTCTAATCCCTCCCCCTACCCTTAATCCCAGAACAATCAGAACAATAAAATTTAGAAGCGAAAATTAGGATGATAAACACACTAGCTTGGGTTTTCTGGAGCAAATACCATTACTAGGATTCTGAGCTTTGGGAATTATGTCCGTCCCTTCAGAAAGAGAATTCTAGGCTCTTAAAAAGAACTGAAGACACATAGCATAAAGTCAGGACCATTTGAGAAAGGGTAGCATTTAAAAAAAAAATCTAGCCGGGCGCAGTGGCTCACGCCTGTAATCCTAGCACTCTGGGAGGCCGAGGCGGGAGGATCGCTCAAGGTCAGGAGTTCGAGACCAGCTTGAACAAGAGCAAGACCCCCATCTCTACTAAAAAATAGAAAGAAATGATCTGGACAACTAAAAAAATATATATAGAAAAATTAGCCGGGCATGGTGGTGCATGCCTGTAGTCCCAGCTACTCAGGAGGCTGAGGCAGAAGGATCGCTTGAGCCCAGGAGTTTGAGGTTGCTGTGAGCTAGGCTGATGCCACGGCACTCTAGCCCGGGCAACAGAGCCAGACTCTGTCTCAAAAAAAAAAAAAAAAAAATCTAGCAAAGGTTCCTAGAAAGAAAACTTGTTTGTCTCTACAGGGATCTGTGCCTCTGAGGAGTGGGGTAGAGGCTATCTGGGCCACAGATTTAACCCTAAATTAACATACAGTCTCGGAGTTTTAATGAACTGGTCCTGAAATTAAACGGACCCAGGTTCATAGCGCCCCCTAGTGCCTTACAAAAGCAAATGTAAACAGCTTGAAAAGGAAAGCATCTTGAATCCAAGTTCTTAAGATCTACATAGATTGTTTTTCTATTATTGAGCACCTATTACATATCATCAGACACTTTACCAGGATCTTGGATGTACAAATATAAGATCATAATAAATATCACCAAATCAAAAAGAAAAATAGATACTATGGAAAGTTAGACTTCGGAGCAAACAAAGACTTCCATCTTCTCCTACACCCCCAAAGAATTTCAGATATTGAAATTATCATGTAGAGAATATAATTATTTACTAAAAGTTTAAAGAATAAAAAAATAAAATAGAGAAACAATAAAGGAGCAAGGGACAATCAAAATCAGGCAGATTTGAAAAAAACAAAACAGAACGTCTAGAAATGAAAAAGAGCTATTATCCCGTAGTGATAAAAATCCATCAATAAGATGTAATAATCGGGACCTTGTATGCACCTGGCTACAGAACCATGTTCTTACTTCAGAACGATGTAAGTCAGTAACTAGCAGAATGAGGAGAATTTCAAATTTATGATTGTAGGGTAACATTTCAATATACTACTCTTAGAAACTCATATAACAAGCAAAGAAAAATCCTTACGGTTGCAGATTTGAACAAGACAATAAACAAATCCGATGTATCTACGATTCCTGTATTGACACATAAAGAACATCCAAGTTTTTTCTAAGCACATCTTGAATGATTTCAA